ACTCCAGTAGCTGCCAGCACACGCGCTCCAGACCGAACCGCGCCGCCCAGTGCAGCAGTGTCGGGTACTCCTCGTTACCTACGCAACCAAATATAAATTAACACTCACGCCACGCCTTTGATATGTATATTCAATTGGCCCCATCTTCTATATACCTACTATCAGAATTAATTTTAGAAAATGTTGAAAGGGAAAAGGGGAGAAAAATCTTATCAAAATCGTTTTCTTGCCCTCAAGAAAAACTATGATACGGACCAATAGTTGTCGTGTAAATTATCAGAGTGGTAGCTAACATTGCAATCGTTAAAAAATCACTTACTACAAACATCAGCTTTAGGGTTAAATTGCTCGGTGGATGAAAGCAAATTGAAATGCGGCGGTATGTTTTTCTGGAAGGCGCTTAGCATCCAGCTATCCAGTTGCTCTTTGTTCGTCGTTTTGAATCCAAGTGTCTGAAATAAAAAACATTATGATGAAAACTGATTCCAACATATTTTAAAGCAAGATTAAGCAATGTACTGCCTTTAGTTACCTGGCACATGAACTCCAGCGGGTGGTCAGATGCGCGCAGTAGCTGGTCAAGTTCGCGCAAGCGGCTCTCGCACTTGATCTGCCGCCGCCCCAGCGACTGACCGTTCTTGCTTACACGCACCCACACCAACATCGACACCTCCAGACACGACTCTACAAGTTACAACTCATTATAAACTGACAAGCTCACAGTCGAGTTTCACTAAGGGAGATTAACTAACAATTCGAAGTGCGACAGTCAATTTTGTTCTCGCTGTCAGAACAGTTCAAGCAGTGCGTTTCCCGGGTTAAGAATCACGCACAGTGGAAGCTAACCGAATAGAAAAATAGGATATTGGTAGCAATAGTAAAAAATTTGACTTAAATTTTTATTACGATGACTTTTGGTTTCTATAACATATTTTGTTGTATTTCTCTTATTTATTAACTTAATATAAGAATGTGATAAATGTTACCTGGTATATCAAACTGCAGCGTGTATGGATTTCTCTTCTTAAACGTTGGTATGTTTATAACTTCTCCTTTTTTGTCCACCATTATTTTTATACTATCTTCCTCCCTTATAGGATCGTTGAGTAACGCTATGACGCGGCTTTGGCCCTGCGTACGAAAAAACAATTAATTAAAATTAATGAATGCATCCTACCTTCATTGTTCATGTATCATCAATTAGTCAAACTGCCGCACTCACGGTCGCTAATTGGTCATTGAGGGAGACTTATATAAACATTACTGAAGGACTTTGAGAGCGATGGATAATCAACATAGATTTATTTATGCATAAACAATAAACTTCATATTAATTAAAAAGTGTTCTGAGCACTCCATGTATATGTTTATTTATAGTTTTATTTTTATAGCATTTATAGTTAGATTTTTCTAGAGTGTACTTACAATTTTGACTTTCTTCGGGACAATAGAGAAGCTAGTTCTATCCGCTGCCGTGTCTTTACAGTCCTTAGTTCTTAGAATACCGACTGCTGCTGTTAGGAACGTGTCAACGAACGAAGTGTCCTTTTCACGCACCGACATCATCTGCCATTGATCGATTGTAGGGTAGTCTGTAAAAATTACGATAAGTGTAAAACTTGTAAAATATACGTTCGTTTTTAAAGAAAAATAAATGGTCATAAAATTGTCTTTGTACATGTTTTTGATATTTACCTTCACAGTTATTCGATATAACGTTAGTTTTTTCCACCCCAAGCAACATTACCAGTACTTTTTCTACTTTGAATAAATTTTCAGTGTTCAATTCCCGCTTTAAGTCTGACAACTTGGTATCCAGATTTGGGCACAGTATGACAATTTGCAGTTGTGCTTTGGTCAGTTTGTCAATCTTTTCCTGTGACTCCGATGATAAAAGTTCCTCAGCTGTTATCGGTGTAACTCTGTAACCACGTAAAGATATAATATGCTTGTTTTGGCAAATTAAAAAAAAAACTGACTTTTTACTGGCATTTAAATAAAAATCATTCAAACGATTGCAATATTAACATCATACTGTCATTTTTATCTTTTCTCTATATAACAATATGTATCGACAGTGCATTTACTCTATTAACAGTGGTAGTGCCCGCTTTAACATCTTAGCA